TGTCGGCGGGAGTGAAGTGGTCCTTTCGTATTCAAGGAGTCGCGGCTTGTCGCGGAGAATTAGGGAAAAGTTGTTTGGAGAAGAGAGGAGTCGTTTTCGAACAGAAGGGAGGAGTCGCGGCTTCTCGTCGGGAGTGAAGATAGGCTCTCGTCGGCCGCGCAAAATTAGGGCAAAATTGGGGTCGAAGAAGAAGGAAGAAATCGAGTTGTGGGTATTATTTTGATCGAAGAATGAAGAAGGGCAATATAGTATTTGACTTGTATACCATGTCAGTTAATCCTTCAAAGTAAATGGGGGATAGATTTATGAAAATTCCATCCCAAAAAGTAAACAAATGACTAAATGCTGACATGGAAAGAGATATTGATTAATTTGTCTTATCCCATCCTGCAAAGTAAATGACCCCTAAAAGAAATATGCAGGAAGTTGCAATATTGACGAAGAAGCAAAATAATAAAAATTGGTCTTGGAACCCTAACCAAACCAAAAATCGAATCAAAACAAAACAAATTTATATCCAAGCATGCTCTTAGTTTCCCAAGAGGAAAAATTACAAAGAGAGAGAAACATAGAAAAAATAAATGTAGCAAAATGAGGATTTTTTTCTCAAAATACAAAGGACAACATATATTTATACTCCAAGTACCAAGCACATATAGTATTAAAATTCAACACTCGAGTTGTGGATGGATTCACCTAGCTGATGGCAGCACTCGCGAGCTAAGGACGAACTCTCTAGGCGGGCATTGGCTTTGCGTGGCACTCGCGAGCTGTGAGACAGCCCCCTTGGCGCAGGTGGGCGTGCTCGGTGAGGTGCTGACTAGGCTGACCAGCCAGGAATTTTCCTACTATTTTTTCGGTGAGCTTCCAGCATTTTCTCAATGAGTTTCCGACGTGTTTTTTGGTGATTTTCCAGTGACGTTAAGCATGTTTTTGGGCGCATTTTTCTATAAAATAAAGTATAAAAAGTGACACGAAATACCAAAACAACACAAGAACTACAAAAATGAGAAAAGTCGATTAAATGGATTGAGAAAAATCTAAAATAATTAAAAAAAATCATAAATAAGCCACTCAAAAACACATAAAACAATCACAAAAACGTACAAAAACAAACAATAGAACATCTAATGTTGTCCAATTACTCAAGTGTTTGGAGATCATTCGATTTCGATGTGGTGTCGGAACTTAGAAATGTACGTCTATCTAACGTATATACAAAGTCATGTACTTGAGGTATCATAACCAATTAATTAGCTGAAATACTAAACTTTTTATAACTATTGCTTAGGCAATTTTAAGAAATTTCATCAGTAATATTTGTAATTTTGACGTATCGTGACCAATTAATTAGCTGAAAATATTAAATTTATTATACCAATTGCTTATGCAATTTTAAGAAATTTTACTATGACATAAAAAATTTATTTAAAAAAAATGATTAATCAGATTAAAAAATATAATATTGATTTTTGAATGAATAACTTGAACAATAACTATTATATGATACAAAAAAAAATATAATTATTACTCAACTAATATAAATGTAACGGTTTTTGTCTCAATTAACCAAAAAGAAGAAAAAAACTAATGAAATATTTTACTATTAATGGGATAAGGTGGACATAGGTAAAATTTATTAGGCTTTATTTATTAGGTTTTATGTAATGATTTGCCACATAGGTAAAATTAAATAAGTTTATTTATTAGGTAAACTTTATTGCTAAGCTGGCAATTATAGATATATAGATAGCTCTGTGGCATTAGGTTGCATTAGATTGATCGACTGAAAACAGAAACGAAGTATATAAGACATGAAGATAAAATATTTTTCTGCTAGAACATACGACTTTGTTGCATTGGATTGCATTAAAAAAACAGAGTATATAAGAGATGAAGATAAAATATTTTTCTGGTAGAACATACGACTTTGTTGCATTAGATTGCATTAGATCGATCAACTGAAACAACAAATGGATTATAAGAGATGAAGATAAAATGTTCGTCTGCTAGAACATACGACTTTTTACTCTTAACGCTTCATGTGGAAAGGGACTACCGTGTCGAAAGTGACAAACGGGTATCCTCTTCATGTATGTGGCTTTCATATGCGTTTGGTGGAGAGAGAAAGACGCGATTCATGATCTATCTAGTATCTATACACGCACATATACCTACAATTTGTACACAACCTCTAAGGGATCCATTTCCATAATGTACAACATCTGCATAGCTGCATCTATAATACAATGTCGTGATTGATAAGCCCGTACACAATTTCTAACGAATGTTTGGATTCATTTTAACGACCTAGCTACAATTATAACCAATCGACATGTTCGTTTGAGGCCTTGGCCTTTTCTTTAGGAACTTGGTAACGGTTATTCTCATATTTGGCTTTGACAATGAGACCGTACAACAACTCGGCCTCAGCTGAAGTATCATATGGCACATTCAGGATGCTGCGTAAAATTATAATCAGAAGAAAAGAGATTACCGAGGAAGTCTAGAGTGTTGAAGGTATACATACAGTTACAAAATCAAAGGTCCATAAACCTGTCGAGAAGCTCCTCCAGAATAGTTCTCTGTGATGGTGTAACATAATGAATACAACTTCTCGGACACTGACCGACTGCAAGGTGAACTTTATAGTCACCACCATGCCCTGGAAAAAAATAAACGAGGTTCAACCCATTAAAAAATTCAAAATTTATCAAGAACCTATTTCCCAGAAGATCAATGAAATAGATTTCTTTAGTCCCTGCTTTTTTGCTTGTTTTTTTTTTTTCTATTTTTTCCTGTGTTGGTAAAAATCCCATTGCTTTATACTTATCTCACAAAAAGAGAGGACAGAACCAACCTTGAGAAGCAGCAAAAGCTCTCCCGGTTTCTGAAGAAAATTTAAATGCACGAGGTGCTGTTCTTACACATGAATATGGACAACCTGCAGATTTGAACAAAAGTGTGAAAGAAGGATATCACAGTGATTTTACAAGGGCAGTGGAACTCTCATCTCAAAAATCATCTTAATGCAGTCAAATTTTCGATGGATTGTTATTATCAAACATGGCTTGGAATGTAAAGAGTCGGTACCTCGACCAATGCAAAGAATCCCATTGACGAAGATATCACATGGTTCGCATTCTGGCTGGTCGAATGGATTCATAAATTCTCTACACGTGAAAACGAAAACACTGGTGAATGAAGATGATTCAATACAATATGCAAAGACAAAAAATTTACTGATGAGAATAGCATATAATGAATTATCAGAGACCAATACTATAAAATTTTCATCAAGTCAATATGATTGTCCAAATTGTAACAAGGTCTGTTTCTCCTTAATTTACAACCAAAGTAAACATATTGGGATAGATGACCATCTACCAAGGGAAAGATGAAAACTCAAATTATTTGCATAGTCATTGTCACTTCAAAATAAGAAACAGATGATGTACATGACGAGTAGCCGTGCACGCCAAAATTCAAATAGTATTATATCCATGAGAATAATCCATAATATAATCTTAACCCTTCTGTTGGTACTTCACATCAATCATACTGCACCACTTCTATTTAAGTAAAATAGCCCTTACATGAGCACAAACACGGACAACATTTCTAAAATTGTATGTACCACTCCGGAGGTTCATAAATCCAGCAAACAGACTTTTTAGGTCCACAACCCAACAATGTTGCTGACATACAATAATCATGCCAACAAAAAATAATTGTTCAACAAGGAGAAGCACAAGATGACACATTTACCTCTCAATGATTTCTGATTTGCTATAGTTGGATAAGATCTGTCAAACATAGCAAATTACTGCTGGTTAGCCATTATCTAATCATTAAAATACAACAGCGGCCTTTCTAGCCTAAGCCTAAACACAATAGAATATAATGACATCCATTCAGCAACAAGTTGCTTATTTTGTTTTTTTGGTTCTGTTGGTGTTGGACGTTCGCCTGGAGACAATCAACCAGCATGAAATTGCTAAATACAATAAAAATGTGAAGTGAAAAGAAACCTAAAGAAAAAAAAAAGAAGGAAAAACTGACATCAAGTAAACCTCATAATATAACTTGGAACATTTTTACAGGCAAAGTTCCAAGCCACCTGCCACCTCGCCACCTACGAACTCACCAAAAAAGTTATTGGGTTCCTATAACAACATTGATGATAATAAACAGAGTGTACTTGCAGCGATTAATTTCGTAGAACATCCAGTTCAAGATTCAATTCAGAGTCGATCAATTTAGAGATTACGTTGTGTAAAGCATGAACATTTCGACTTAAACAGGCGATCAGTCCTAGAACTTCAGTATGTTTTACATCTTTGAACTGTAAATTACGTGCTTATGTTCATAAATCATAACATATGTTTGTTGTTTACGACATTTGTACTAGACATACTAGACATATAAACATTTGTACTCGGCATATGCATACAGGTTTTACAAGAAAAAACAGCTCAGAAAGCCTAGTACCTCATAGGCTTGAATCACATGCCGAATCATTGTATCCGAATTTTGCTCGCCTCTTGTTACATCAGGATGACACTGCTTCACCTACACATACAAAACACACACACACGCACACACACGCACACACACACACACACACACACGCACAGGGAAGAAATAAAAATAGTCAAAATCAGTAAAAAGAGTAAAACAAGCCCCCACAATCCTGAACAAGAGGAAAAATGGATCTTTTTCAGATGATTACTTTAGATCGAAAAGCTGCTTTGAGTTGGGCCGACGAGCACTGAGGCTCAAGCCCGAGCACGGCGTACGCCCAAGAAGCAGTGAAGGGTTGAGAATCGCATCCTGAATAATCGCTATTTTCGCCGCCGCCGCCGCCGCCGCCGCCGCCGTAATTGCAGAGCACTCTAAGTGAGGAAGAAGATGGAGCACAGGTTGAAGGCCTGGATTTTGAAGCAACTATAAATTGGGTATTTATTATCTTCTTAAATAAGAGCAACGAGGAGGCCGAACTGCACTGGTTATGGCAAAGTGAAATGGGTTTCATTTCTTATTTGCTTGAGAGATTTGATAGAGTGATCACAGAATCGTATGTGTGTTATTTGGCCACAGAAATGTAGAGAAAGTGAAAAACTCTATACATAAACAAATGAAATTAATGAAAAAATATTTATTTATTTTTTTATGATTTTAAAAGTTCTATTATTTTCAAAAATGCAGGACACTTATATGATTTTAAATTATGTCCTAGTTTGGTTGAGATAAGGTTGACAAGGCCCAATATTTGTCGGAATAAAAAACTCTAGTTTCCGACCCTGGTGCATTTCTGTGCCTCTCCACTGAGGAGCCCCTCTCCATCGGCGACTGCGAGGCCGGTGCACAGGACGACACCTTGGTTAACGGCGAGAGACTGGGCCAGTTTCCGTGGCCTTCTACGAGTGGATTTCCTCTTCAATTCGATGGCCATGGCGGGAGGTTGCAACGGCTGGCGGGTAATCTTGTGGAGGCGGGCACCAGCTGCCTTCTTGCAGAGGCCGGTTATTGAGACGGAGGCTCTGGTTCTCCCCCGTTCCTTTTTGTACTCTTGTGTTGAGTTAACAAAGACAGTCGTCGGATGCGGCTGTCGACTACTGTTGGCCGAGTTGCAGTCGTTTGGTGTGTGGGGGGAAAGCTGGGTGTAGGGATGCAAACGAGTCGAGTCGAGTCAAGCATTGACCTTATCGAGCATGATTGAGTTTTTTTTAGCTGCTCGAGCTCGAGCTCGTCGAGCTTAATTTTTGAGGCTCGAGCTCGACTCGATAAAAAATTACAATAGCTCAAGATCGACTCGAAATCAAAATGCTGGAGCTCGGCTCGAAAATTTTTAAGTGGAAAGGTAAAATTATCATTAACCACCTATGCTAATATATCTATCTATACTATTATAAAAGTGTCAATGAATCTGTAAAAATATCAATAGCCTAAAATAACCTTATTATGCCATATTTATAATGGCAACTTCGTAATTTTAATACATGTATTTGATAGATTAACTAATATATAATAATTTAAATACCTAACCAAGGTTAGGCCGCGTAGCTATCCGCATAAAATCTGGCAGATCAAACAAAAGCATGCGGTCATGTACTCACGGAAATGCCCCATTAAATTTTTTTTTTTAATGATTGCATTTTAATGGTTTGGATTTTTTGTGCTTTTTGTAAGAAAATTGGTCATGTACATAAAAATCAAAGCCATTCTTGGACAAAGATGGAAGAAATTAAGAGGATAGCTGTAAAAAAAAAAAAAAAAAAAAAAAAAAAAAAAAAAAAAAAAGGGTTCTCATAGGAGAAAACGAGATACAGTAACCGGCCTCACGGAAATTGGCCGTCCAAAGCGGCACCACGTCGGTCCTCTTCGCTTTTCTTTTTCGAGATGTAATGAGTTTTTCACAATCCATAGCCGGATTTATACAAGTTGCTCTTGAAGAAACTTTCAATTGATTTATAAAATCTATTCGTTTATGTGCTCTTGAGGAAACTTTCGACCGATTTATGAAGTCAATTCGTTTATGTGCATTAACGAATTACTAACTACCAATGGAACTTTGTGTGAGCATACAATGAATTACTAACTACCAATGAAAACTCTTGTTGAATGATCTGTGTTTTTCATCGAGTCATTTTAGGTTGTTTTCCACGAAAGTTTCAGAAATAATATGATAATGGGACTAAAGGGATTTAATGTAAAAATATAACCTATGAGAAAGAAAAATTGTGTAACACTATTAGAGATAAATTGTTGAATAATTGTTTTGCAACTCAAACTTCTAATCTACTAAATGTATTTATTTGAATAAGATTAGATTAATTTTATAAAATTTTCTAATACTAAAAGTCATTCCAATTGTTTTCCTATCGAATACTACTTGAGCAACTTCATTTAGTTTTGATCATAAGATTGTCTATAAATTAATTAATATATCTTGAGAATCATGATATGTCTATATACGCTGAAGTTAAATAATTTTTACCAACAAATCATATCAAACAACACCATTAATCATCTATTAATAACAACTATAAGTAAACCAAATTAAAATCAATAATGTTTGTCCTTATAATGCCCATAAAGTATAGAAATATTTTTTGTTGTCCAAAATAACCTATATAAAAATAAAACAATTGTGTAGTAGTACGAGAACTGTTGAATTCTTATTATGCAGCTTGAACTTCTAATATACTCAATTTCTTTCTTAAAATATGATTGGAATAATTTTATGAAATTGTATAATATTAAAACCCATACTATTTATTTTCATGTCGAATGGGATACCACTTGAGAAACATTCAATTTAGATCATATGAATATCTATAAATTAAATAAAAATATCTGGAGAATCATGATATGCCTATATACCTTGAAAATTAATAAACTTTTAGCAATAAATTATATCGATATATTATATATAATATTGTGTGCAGTTAACTATTCTTAAAATTATCGATAATGATACAAAATATAACGCATTCAATGTAATTAGGATTTACTTTATGATAATTAATATTTTTATTTTTTTGAAAAAACTAAGATACAACTAGGTTGAAAAAGTCCGTTATAATTTTATTAGTATTAGAATAACTAAACAAGAGATAAGAATGATATTCTACGTAAAAAAAAAAAAAAAAAAAAAAAAAAAAAAAAAAAAAAAAAAGATAAGATTACACAATGAGAAAGCTTATAATTCACATTCCATCCAGAAGTAAAAAATAAAAAAATAAAAAAAAAAATTAAAATTAATAAATTTTATCAAAAGCTCAATGTATTGCACATTAATAATATATGTTATGCACAATATTGTGAATTTATAAGCACATTATAAAAAATATTATACTTTTTGTGAATATAAATATAAGTTAGTTGCTTAAGTTTTATAAAACAATGGAAAAAAAATCTAAAACTATTTAAACTTATAAACAATATAAAAATACACTTATTCAAATATATTACTACTATCAAACAACCAGAATACATATAAAGAGAATATTAATGCAAAGATAACAAATAAAAGTCTGATTTTTTTTAGAAAAATATGAATACCAATATCAAGAAACAAAAATCTTTATAATTATTTTTTTTTTTTGCAACTAGCATTTAAATATATGTTCTCTATAAGAAATTGGTTCTCATAAATAATGATTCCATAATATCACAATATGCACCAAAAACTTTAATAATGACGTAATAATAATAAAGTTCACATATGACTAAGAGTATCATAATATAATATATAGAATTCATATTCTTCTCATATTAAATATTTTGACAAATGTTATGCTTCTCGATATTACAAATTCGATCGATTGTGAAAGGTGTTAAGACAATTAACTCTAAAATCGTTGCGACAACTAAAATGGTGATTTGCAAATAATAGGTTATGTAGTTTGTCTGTCTTCCAAATAAATAATACTGAATAGGGAATATTCGATTCTGATCAAAATATTTTTAAATGTTTGAATAAGTTGTTACTTTTTAATTTGAGCATTTACAATCTTAATTGTGTATTGTGCTCGATAATATGAGCAATTACTTTAAAGTATGAACTTTTCATGTAATGTGTGATGATATTAAAAATAGTTTAGCGTCTTTTCGGAGAAGTACATAATTTTGAAAGATCAATTTTTATTTATAAATGAAATTAGTTCCCACCTCATAGGATATGTACCAATTTGTCGATATGGGGAGAGAAAAAGAGAGAGAGAGAGAGAGAGAGAGAGAGAGAGAGAGAGAGAGAGAGAGAGTAATGTAGTAGTTTATACAATGATTAAAAAAGTTCAAGAATTTCAATGACTATTTCACATAGATATTTATGAAATGTTCGTAGAAATACCTTATAATGATCAATTATGAAATTTGACTCATGGGCGGACCTAGGCAGGCGCCTGTAGGGGCACAAGCCCCTGTGCAATTTTTTTTTTAAAAAAATTATAACATATATAATTATATTGAAAAATAATTACAAGAGGTTTTTTTTTTTAAATTTAAGTTGTTTGCATTTGGTATTTATACTATGTTGTAGGCAACATATATAAATGAGTTAAATCGATTTTTCACAAAAATCAACATTGATTTTGATACATATTGAATTCAGGTGTTCTTAAAATTATAATTATAAGTTTAAATTAGCTACTAAATTGTGTTTTTCATTGATTTTTAAGTAATAAATATTTATCTTTATTATAAAAAAGTCTGTGAATGCTGACGTTGTAAGAATATCCAGTGGAAAAGAAAAAAAATTGGTATTTGAAAACAATATATTTAATGAGATTTGAATTTGTTTAATTATTAGTGATATAATATATAAGAACATGCAGAGAATAAATATCATTTTTTTTTTTCACTTTGTAAAGGTTATGTTTGTGCCCCCTCAGTCTTGCGAGTCTGCGTCCTTCCCTGGTTTGACTATATGTTCGGCTAAAGCATTTCTAATTATGTGTTGAATAAATCAAACTTTTTACTAAACTATAAATAGATAAAAATACTCATGCATTTATAATATACATTAGATTTTTATTTAGTTATTTCGTTTTTTTTTATTGACTCATTTTTTTTATATATATTTTTGTTGAGTTTGTAACATGTCATTTAAATCTTTTTATATTACGACATCATTATGTTATTTTTGAAAAAAAAAATATTATGAGTTTATTTGTTCTATATTTTATTTTATTCTTGCAATCATATGTTTAATTATTAAATTAATTTATCTTATCGGCCAAAAACATTCATTATCACGTGCATCGCACGTGCACTTTACTAGTATATATATATATATATATATATATATATATATATTAAGGGGTATTTTAGTAATTTAATGTGTATCTTGAACTGCTCGGCAACCCGCTCGGCAAGACAAAATATAGGCTCGAGTTCGATTCGAGCACGTGCTCGAGCTCAACTCGAGTTCGATAAGACTCGTGCTCGAGCTCGACTCGAGTTCGATAAAACTCGAGCTTGAGTCGAGTTTTGACTCGAGCGCTCGCGAGCCGCTCTATTCGTTTGCAACCCTACTTGGGTGTAGGTCTTCTGGTGCTTGTCCCGGTGGTGACATTTTCAGAAAGAGTCGAGTATTTTGGTCTGCATCTTGTTAGTCGGTAGGAAATTTTTTAGATCTGTGTCGGGTCTGAGGACTCGGCCTTCTTGAGTGGTTGCCTTGTGCGTTTGGTTTGTTGGGGCGTTTTGGAGTGGTGTTACGACATGTGGGGAGGGCTTTAATCTAACTATAAGTTTTTTTTTTTTTTTTTCTATGTTTTATTGTGTTTTGTTTCTTTTCTTAAAATGAACTAGCAAACCAAAAAAATCTACCGAAATCACAAAGAAAAATTTTTTCATGATCAAACGAACTAAGAAATAAAACTGGACAACTCATGGTCTAAAAAAAACAATTTTTTTGAACGAATTAGTAAAAGAATAAAAACTAGAATAATCATTCATTCATTCAAGTTTGAGTGAGCCTTTATAGGGTTGCAAACGAACAGAGCGGCCCGCGAGTCGCTCGTGTGCGCTCGAGTCAAAATTCGACTCGAGCTCAAGTTTGACCGAACTCGAGTCGACCTCAAGCGGCTCGAGCACGAACCCGAGTCCATATTTTGCATTATCGAGCGGAGCTCGAGATATATATTGAACTACTCAAATACCCCTTAAATATATATTATAATAGTATAGCATATGTGCTTAATGATAATTTTATTTTTCTACTTAAAAATTTTTGGGCCGAACTTGAGCCGAGCTCGAGCATTTTGATTTCAAGTCAAGCTCGAGCCAAGCTCGAGCGGTTGTACTTTTTTATCGAGTCGAGTTCGAGCCTTATAAATCGAGCTCGAGCTGGAGCAACTTAAAAGAACAATCCTACTCGATAAGGCAAATGCTCGACTCGAATCAGCTCGTTTGCAGCCCTAGCCTTTAAGTAGGACTGGAAGGTTTAGAGGGTTGGTTCACTTATGAAGCTCTCTTTGTGTAGAAGTTGGCCAGTGAAGTAATGCTGTAATTAGGGGGCCCCAGAAGACGAGAAAAAATTACCAACTTCCACACTTTGTCTGTGACTTGTGCAATTTTCTCGACGTGGGAGACTAGTCTATCCCTATGATGGCTCCCCTACACACCTGGAGTACTCTATTCAACAATGGTAGAATAATCTTCCAAGTCCTTTTGTGAAAAAAATGGCAAAGTCGTTGATTTAGTCGAGGCCAATAAATAAAGTACGCTCTCATTGGAGGTTTGGGCATAGGACAAGTGCTAACGCGTCTTTTTGCGTAACCAGAGTACGAGTGTAGCTATTGTTGCTCTTCTTGTTCTTTGAGTTATTCTATCTTTGGTCTATTTTTTATTGGTAATCAGTAGTTGAAGAGATTCGGGCATACTAATCATGCCATCTCAAAATAAGGGAGTTTAGCAAACGACGAGCCTAAACATTAGGCTAAAAGACTCTCTTTATTGACCGCAACCCTTATCTGAATGAACGTCCCCATTGTTTCCATTCGTTTTTGCCTCCATAACTGAGGAATGACTGGTTGAATAAGTTGACGAGCAGATACCCAAGTGAGCAGAGAACTTAAAGACCCACTGCCCATCTGGCGGCCATAGATCCCCTTAAAAATTTTATTAATTTGTAATTAGCGAAATAATCATTCACTCGTTGAAGTTTTGGCTCACTAATTTAATCCCAATAAAAGTAGATATTTTTTTCTTCTTGTGGTTGGATTCAAAGATGACTAAATTATTTTTATATATTTGTTGGGTAATGTAATCTTTTATCACTAAATTATTTAATTTTTATCACTAAAATATTTAATCTTGTGGTTGGATTCAAAGATGACTAAATATTTTAGGGTACTAATTTATTTAATTTTTTGTGTATTTGTTTCTATTGTTTTCATGATCTAAGCCGAATAATAGGTATTATATTGGGAATTATTTTTAAAGTATAATGTACCATTTTGCCAAGAAAAAAAAGTCGTGATACAATTGAAAATTTAAAACGGTGGTGTTGCGAAGTGCATTTTTTTTTTTCCAAAAAACCTTCTATCCATGTAGAAAAGTAACCGGACAGTGGACACATCACTTTCTATTCATTGGAATCCAACTCCAAGCTCCGTTCTACTAAGAACCAAAAGTCATGACAAAATTACAAAAGTAAAAAACGTTATGATGTGATATGTTTGCTCTCTTATATATTAATGTGTTGATATTTGAGTTAGTCTAGAGTGAACCGGGAAGGTATCACTTACCAAGACCTGGGCTCGGAACCCGGTCCGGAGCCGAAGTGCCGAGCTGAACCGATACATTAAGTGCCCAGGACTTCCAGGAGAGCATTTTCCGAGGCTGGCACCCCGGCTCAGCGAATGTACGAGTCGACCTGGATGGGTGCCGGGCTGGAAGGGGGATCTGGGATGTCCTATGCGCACGCTCGAAGAAAAGTGTCGACCTGAAGATCCGGAGCGGCGATCCCCAAAGGCAAGGACGGGGTTCGGTAAATATTAAAATATTTACCACTTGGAAAGTCATCATTGGATGATGGGACAGGTTGCCATAGCCTGGTACCCTACAAGCAAGCCTAGACAAGAAAACCTACTAACATTAAATGCCCCACATGCTGGCATTTAGTGCCTGACAAGTAATGATTGAAGAAACCTCAAATCGCATTAAATGGATGTCAGGGAGACGCCGAACTGCCCTGCAAGACTACTGTACGACAAGACCGATGAACAGTACCTGAACAGTACCACATTTAAAGACACTATAAATAGCAGCTCATTTCATTAATTTTGGGTTGTTGAATCTCAATTAACTCTGCCTTCTCTCTACTTTCTCTCTCTATAAACTGTAAGAAACTTATTGTAAGAACCGTAAGTATATCACAAGTGCCGACCTCGTACGAGAGGCCGACATCGTGATCACCTAATAAAATCGTAATTAAGCTATATCTTTCCTTCGCTTCCAGTCTCTTACAACCAACATTTACTATTTTAACTATTGACCGAAAACGCTCGTCAACATAATGCAATCTCGATCTGATGTCGACTCCAGGTGCTTTTTAATCCTATAACAAATTCTGGTGTTTTTTTCTATATATTAATGCAGAATGTCCAGATCCTACGTGTAGACTTTTGATGCTTCGTAATTCTATGTGTCATATTCTGGGGCTTCGTAATCTATTAATAATATTAGTGCATATGTCATTATCCTATATTTTGACTTATGATGTTTCGTAATCTTCTGTGTCGAATTTTGGTGGTTCGTAATCTATATGTCAACAATCCTCGTAGATGTGCATTCTATCCATAAATTTTAGAACTTTGACTAAAATTATTACTCCCTCTGTTTTAAAATAATTGTCGTTCTAGTTGAAAAAAAAACAAAATTACTACTTTTAAAGAATTAATTATCTTACCATACTATTAGATTTTTTAAATCTCTTAAATTCTATTTAAATATTTTTTTAATAGGTTTTCTCTCTCCTTATCATGTTGGGAATGAAGTTAGAGAACTTATAGATAAAGATAATTATTAAAAAATTAACAAGCATGAACTAAAACTTTGGAATTTTAGGATTTTATCAAACTAATTAGTTGAACCATATCTAAAGCGACAATTAATAAGTAAAAAAAAAACTACACACTCAAACGACATGTATTCTAAAACGGAAGGAGTAATATATTTAAAATTTAAAGGGTAAATAATATTTTCCATCCTGTACTATACGTGTTTTTTGAATTTTCAACCTAAAGTATTTTTTGTTGTAAAATGCAACCTGAACTACATATATACAATTATTTGCACGCTAGACTACTTTTTGACCGTTCGATCATCTATAAAAAAGGACACGTGTATGGTCCAGATGTGGTCGAGCGTGCAAATAGTGATTGTATATATAGTTCAGGTTGCATTTTACAACAAAAAATACTTTAGGTTGAAAATCCCAAAAGCATGTATTGTACAGGTTGGAAAAAATTATTTACCCAAATTTAAATTATAACCATACGACTTTCGATAATATCCATATATAAGTAAATATTTCTACTTAATTATCTTTGGTGGATGAATTTATTTATTTATTTTTATTTTTTTTTGTAAAAAAAAAAATAAATAAAATAGACAAATATCCTACTTTTAAGAGAAGACAAGGGGAGCACTAACCACAAAGACAATGACAAATGGGCAAATTGGCCGAAGCAAATATTGTTCCTTCATATATACGAACGACACCCACTGCACCAACCAAAATATAATACCGCGCACACACACACACACACACATGAACAAAATCCATCATTATATCACTTCATCTCCTCCCTCATTATTCATTTCAACGAATCCCCCACAATAATTTTTTTCTCCCCCTTCAGATCCAAATTCAGCCCAATTATTGTTCTCCCCTCAAATCACGCAATCAGATGGCAGTCCTTGTTTATTCCTTTTTCTGTTTGAATGCAATCGAAAATTGATTGATTGTTCCGTTTTTTTTTTTTTTTTTTTTTTTT